CTGGAGGTGCCGTCAATGTTGCACATTGAACTTCGAGCTCTCGCGATCGATCGATCTGGTGTCTCAGCAGCGGCCACCGCACCAAGCATCGCCTCCGCCGAGCATCGCTCCGCCAAGCCTCGCCTGATGTTCGCGTCCGCGCGTCGCCTGCTGTCCGTCGGCGTGCCCGCCGCCGCGGCCTCCGTGCTCGCCTCGAACCGCGCCGCCTGCGACGAGTCGCGCCTCGCGGCGCTCGAGCGGCGCGTCGCCGCGCTGGAGCAGCCGGCGCGCGCCAACAGCCGGAGCGATGGCGTCGCGAGCTCCTGGGCCAAGGCCGTGCTCTCGCCCGACGTGCTCTTCAGCGAGCGCGACCTCGAGACGATGATCGACTCGCTCGCGGCGCAGATCACGCGCGACTACGGCGACGAGGAGCTCGTCGTCGTCGGCCTCCTCGACGGCGTCTTCATGTTCCTCGCGGACCTCTCGCGCAAGATCGACACGCCGCACACCGTCGACTTCATCGCCGCGTCGTCCTACGGGCTAGGCACCGTGAGCAGCGGCAACGTGAAGATCAAGAAGGACTCGTCGTTCCCGCTCGCGGGCAAGCACGTGCTCATCGTCGACGAGATGTGCGACTCGGGCCGCACGATGGCCTCGCTCAAGGAGCTCATGAAGCAGCGCCAGGTCAAGTCCGTCAAGACCTGCGTGCTCCTCGACAAGGTCTCGCGGCGCACGGAGGACATCCGCCCGGATTACGTCGGCGCCGTCTGCCCGGACGAGTTCGTCGTCGGCTACGGCATGGACTGGGGCGGCAAGTACCGCTCCCTGCCCTTCGTCGGCGTCGTGCGCAAGGAGCTCTACAGCTAGGCGCGCCGCGTAACCTGATACGACTTCGTACCACCTAGGTAGAATCCTAGCACCATCTAGAGCCATCCCTAGCGCGCCCCGAGGCACTGGCGACCGCCGTCGACGCAGATGACCTCGCCAGTGATGAAGCGCGACTGGTTGGACGCGAGGAACAGCGCGAGGTCAGCGATATCACCGGGCGTCGACAGGTCGCCCGTCGCGGCGCCGAGCGGGTGCGTCACGTTCGCCGAGCGCTCGAGGAACGCCGCGTAGGCCTCGTCCGACATGCCGCCCCTTTGCTGCAGCGGCGTGACGGTGACGCCCGGGTTGATGTTGTTGACGCGGACGCCGTGGGGCGCGAGGTCCACGGCGGCGCAGCGCGCGATGTGGTCGATGGCGGCTTTGGAGCCGCAGTAGGCGCCGAGCGTCGCGAAGGACTGCTTGCCGTTGACCGAGCTGATGTTGACGACGGCCGCGCCGACGCCTGCGGCCACGAGGTGCGGCGTCGCCTCGACGAGAATCTCGTAGGGCGCGCGCGCGTTCGCGGCGAAGTTGACGTCGAAGTTCTCGAGGGAGGCGGCCGGCGCGCCGTCCGGCGCGGCGAACGCGCCCGCGTGCAATACGCCCGCGCTATTCACGAGCGTCGTGATGCCGCCGAGCTCTTTTTCGGCCGCGGCGACGACGTGCGCGCAGGCGCCGGGCTCCGTCAGGTCTGCTGCTTCATATGAACAACCGATCTCGGCGGCGAGTTCTTTTAGTGCCACCGCGTTGCGGCCCGTGGCAAGCACGGAGGCGCCTTCTTTTGCGAAGCGCCGCGCGATGGCCTGGCCGATGCCCGAGCTCGCACCGGTCACGAGAGCAAGCTTGCCAGCGAGAGCCATTGCGAGAGCGATGCTGCGGGCGGTCGAGCTATGTATGCGCAGCAGGACGAGCTGCTATGCCGCGATCTGCTACGCGCTGCTATCGAGAGCTCTTGAGCTCGAGACCAAAAAACTTCAAAGTGAACCGCAATGAAGCGACGTTTACCCTGTACGCAGGACGAATAAAATGGCCCGCGGGTGAGCGCGGCACACACGCACAAAGAAGGAAAGGAACGGCGATGTCGGCTTACGCGGCGGATGGCCGGGGCGAGGTTCGTGCTCGCGGCGGCGGCGCCGCGGCGGCGGCGCGCTACACCGACTCCTCGATGAGCCGCAGCGTGAGGGGCCGGAGCGCGCAGAGCGAGAGCGCGGCGTCGAAGTCGACGTTCGTCGTGACGTCGCAGGCGTTGATGGCCGCGACGCGGGCGCCGACGGCGACCCGTTGCTTCTTCGCGGGGCCGCCGTCGGCGACGGACGTGACGACGATGGCGTCGCTGCCGTCGCTGTGCTCGAGGAGGAGGCCGACGCGGCCCGGGTCCTCGAAGGTCACGGAGCGCGCCAGGGGCTCCTTGGGCGGCGGCGGCGGCGCGTTAAGTTCGTCGAGGACGGACCGCGGGCTCCGGCGGCTGTCGAGGTCGGCCGCGTCGCCGGCCGCGGGAACGATGGGCGCGACGGGCGCGAAGCGGCGCGCCTCCGGCGCGGGCGCGAGGGCCGCCGGCGGCAGGGACCGCGGCGCGATGGGCACGGGCGCGGCCAGCGGCGCGGCCGCGACGCGCGCGCGCGCGGCGGCGAAGCCCGCGGCCGCGACGCGCGCGAGGTCCGGCGGCGGCGGCGCCGGCGCCGGGCGGGGGCCGCCCGCGTTGCCGCAGTCGACGCAGCGGCAGGACGGCGCGCAGGCCTCGCCCGCGGCGAAGCAGTCGCAGTAGCGCTTGAGGCACCGGCTCCGCGTGCACGTGCAGCCCGCGCCGGCGACCTTCTTGCGCTTGCGGTTCGTGCGCAGCGCCGCGGCCCGCGCCTCCGTGCCGTCGACGTTGCCGCAGCCGACGCAGCGGCACTCGGGGCCGCAGGCCTCGCCGCGCTCGAAGCAGACGCAGTAGCGCTTGAGGCACTTGCTGTTCTTGCACCGGCAGCCCGCGGACGCCGCGGCCTTGGGCCGCGGGGCGCCCTGCTGGTAGGCGGCGATGGCGCGGAACGCCGACGCGCCGTCGGGCGGCGGCGCGGGCGGGCCGGCGCCGTACATGCTTATGAACACACCTAACGTGCTTTCGGTTGGCCAATTTGAGGTGCTCGAACGGAACGGGGCAGCATCGAGTGCCCAATCCATTCAACAATCCCATTTGAAACTTTGGGGCTGCCCGACGTTTTGTGAGCATCTCGTTGTCGCCGCGCGGCGCGGCGGCGGCGGTTCCTGCGCGCGCGCAGCGCGGCCGCCGCTGCGCGCGGCGCGGCGCGTGTCGACGACGCGGCGGCGGCATGGCGCGGCTCGCGTGGTGCGTCGCGGCGCTGCTGGCGCGGTGCGTCGCCTACGACTGGGACGACGACTCCGTCGACGCCTTCGACTGCGATAGCTACGTGCTGCCGCTGCAGATGCTCATCCCGGAGGACGAGGACTCCTACGGCGTGCGCGAGCTCGACATCGACACCGGCGAGTACGGGACCATCTACGACCTCGACTGGTTCGACGGCCACGTCAACGCCGTCGGCATGTACGAGGACGAGGCCTCGGGCGAGTTCTACCCGTTCGGGTCCTTCGCGGGCCAGCTCTGCCGCTTCGACGACTCGCACGCGAGCTGCTTCGACGCGGCCCTCGAGTACGCGTCGTCGAACGCAGGGCAGCAAAAGAGAGCAAAATTTCCAACTTGGAGGCTCATGATTTTTGGACGAGCGATCATCTCTCGGAACGGTCTCGAAGCGTGGATGTGTTTTCGGAACGCGCGCGCGCGGAACACTCACGTTGAAGCGACGTTGAATCTCTCTTTTGCTGCCCAGGTCGAACGTCGGCGCCGTGCTCGAGACGACGTACTACTACTCGAAGAACAGCGGCCGCGACGGCGGCGAGAAGGTCTTCTTCGTCCAGGACATCGACACCGACGACCCCACGTTCGTGCAGGACGCTTTGTTCGAGTTCAGCGGCGACCTCTTCGAGGGCGCGGTGCTGGACGTCGTCGCGCTCCACGAGGGCTGGGAGCAGGACCACTACGTCCTCGACGGCGACAACGGCGCGCGGTACCTCGTGGGCCTCGGCCAGGCCTTCGAGGTCGTCGTCATCCACATCGACGCCGACAGCGGCTACCCGGACAAGTACGCGGTTTTGGACTCCGTCGTCGTCGACTGGGGCGACGCGGACCGCGTCGACGAGCCGTCGGCCTTCGGCGCGGCCTACCGCTTCGAGGCGGGCGACGACGACCGCGTCTTCTTCTCCGCGAACGCGGGCTTCGGCATGTTCGAGCTCCACTGGCCCATCGTCGTCGCGTCGGACTGCTGGAACTCCGGCGACGACTGGGAAAACCACGCGGCCTGCGACGGCGTCGCGTCGCCGAAGCTCGCCTACATCGGGCCGTCGGAGGTCACATCATCCAACGACGGCTTCAACTGCCCCGACGGCTACTTCGCGACGACGGGCGCGCCGACGGCGTACGACGAGGTGACCCCCTTCGACTGCGACGCGTACCCCGAGCCCGTGCAGATCTTGAAGTGGGGGGCGAGCGACACCTACTCCGTGCGCGCCTTCGACCCGGAGACGGGCGACTACGCGATGATCTACCAGCTGAGCTGGTTCGACGGGCACGTCAACGCCGCGGCGATGCTCTACGACGAGGGCAGCGATTCGTACTACCCGTTCGCGGCCTTCGACGGCGTGCTCTGCTCCTTCGACCGGGACCACAAGGTCTGCCCCTTCGGGACCCATCTCTACTACGGCACGCCGAACGTCGGCGCCATCTGGGACACGACGTATTATTATTCCAAGAACCTGGGGCGAGACGGCGGCGAGGGCATCTACTTCGTCACGGGCGTCGAGTGGAGCCTGGACGCGACGACCTTCGTCGACGACGCGCAGGTGCTATTTTCCGGCGACCTCTACGAGGGCGGCGTGCTGGATCTCGTGGTGGCGGACGAGGCCGCGGGCGAGGCGTACGTCGACGACGACGACGGCGCGGGCGTCTACGCGTTCGGCCTGGGCTACCAGTTCGAACTGTTGGTCGTGAAGCTCGACCGGGACACGTCCTACCCCGTCGCCTACGCGGTCCTCGACAGCGACGTCGACTGGGGCGGCTCCGACGCGGAGACGGATCTGGATTCGGGCTTCGGCGCGGCCTTTGCTTTCAAGGACGGCGACCGCTACCGCTTCATGTTCTCGGCGAACGAGGGCTGGGGCATGTTCGAGCTCGAGACGCCCGTCGACGTGCCCGACGACTGCTGGAACGAGGGCACGGACTACGACGACCACGAGGTCTGCGACGCGACGGTGTCGATCTCGCGCGTCGACGACACGGCCGCGACGACGAGCAACGACGGCATGAACTGCCCCGAGGGCTACTTCGCGCCCGCGCCGACCTACGCGCCGTCCTACCACCCGACGTCGTCCGACCCGACGGAGATGCCCTCCGCGGAGCCGACCTACGAGCCCACGCCGGGGCCGACGCCCGAGCCGCGAGCCGCGCGGCGTCGTTTCCTTTCGTTTGTTTCTTTTTTTACGCGCGTCCTCGTAGGTCGCCCGCGCCGACGCCGGACCCCAGCCCGGAGCCGACGCCCGAGCCGACGCCGAACCCCGCGCCCGGGCCCACGCCCGAGCCGAGCCCGGAGCCGACGCCCGCGCCGACGCCCGAGCCGACGCCCGCGCCCGCGCCCGGCCCGACGCACCTGCCCACGTACCATCCGAGCGCGTTCCCCTCGGAGATGCCCACGGTCGAGCCGACGTACGCGCCGACGCCGCAGCCGACGCCCGCGCCGTCGCCGGAGCCGACGCCCGAGCCGTCCCCGGACCCGTCGCCGGAGCCGACGCCCGAGCCCACGCCCGCGCCCGCGCCCGGGCCGACGCCGCTCCCCACGTACGCGCCGAGCGCCTATCCGTCGGAGATGCCGACGGCCGAGCCGACGTACGCGCCGACGCCCGCCCCGACGCCGGAGCCCTCCCCGGAGCCGACGCCCGAGCCGACGCCCGAGCCGACGCCCGCGCCCGCGCCCGGGCCGACGCACCCGCCGACGTACGCTCCCACGGCGTTCCCGTCGGAGATGCCCACGGTCGAGCCGACCTACGAGCCGACGCCGGGACCGACGCCCGAGCCGACGCCCGGCCCGACGCCGCAGCCGAGCCGCATGCCCACGTACGCGCCGTCCGCCTTCCCCAGCGAGATGCCCACGGAGGAGCCGACCTACGAGCCGACGCCCGGTCCCACGCCCGAGCCCTCGCCGGAGCCGACGCCCCATCCGAGCCGGCTACCGACGTACGCGCCCTCGGCGTTCCCGAGCGAGATGCCCACGGAGGAGCCGACCTACTCGCCGACGCCGGGACCGACGCCCGAACCCTCGCCGGCGCCGACGCCCCATCCGAGCCGGCTGCCGACCTACGCGCCCTCGGCGTTCCCGAGCGAGATGCCCACGGAGGAACCCACGTACTGCCCGACGCCCGGCCCGACGTCGGCGCCGACGTACGCGCCGTCGCCGGCGCCGACGCACCTGCCCACCTACGGTCCGTCCTCCTTCCCGTCGGAGATGCCGACCGCGGAGCCGACCTACGAGCCGACGCCCGGCCCCACGCCCGAGCCGTCGCCGGCGCCGACGCCCCATCCCAGCCGATTGCCGACGTACTCGCCGAGCGCGTTCCCGTCGGAGATGCCGACGGCCGAGCCCACGTACGCGCCGACGCCGCAGCCGACGCCCGCGCCGTCGCCCGAGCCGTCGCCGGAGCCGTCCCCGGAGCCGTCCCCGGAGCCCACGCCCGAGCCCACGCCGGCGCCGGCGCCCGGCCCGACGCCGCTCCCCACGTACGCGCCGAGCGCGTTCCCCTCGGAGATGCCCACGGAGGAGCCGACCTACTGGCCCTCCGTCGCGCCGACGCCGTCGCCGACGCCCGAGCCGTCGCCCGCGCCGAGCCCCGAGCCGACGCCCGAGCCGACGCCGGACCCCGCGCCGGGCCCGACGCCGGCGCCGAGCCCCGAGCCCACGCCCGCGCCGACGCCCGAGCCGTCGCCGGACCCGAGCCCCGAGCCCACGCCCGCGCCGACGCCCGAGCCCACGCCCGAGCCGAGCCGCGCGCCGAGCTACGCGCCGACGTCGGACCCGGAGCAGGAAAGAGTGATTCAAGGTCTCTTCAACATAAGTGTTCCGCGCGCGCGCGTTCCGGAAAAGCATCCACGCGTCGAGAGCGCTCCGAGAGATGATCGCTCGTCCAAAAATTAGCCAAAACGGGTGGAAAACGACCGAGATATGAGCCTCCAAAGTTGGAAATTTCGCTCTCTTTTCCTGCCCAGGTCGGACCCGTCGATGATGCCGACGCCGCTGCCGAGCTACGAGCCGACGCTGAGCCCGCGGCGCGAGCCCTTCGACTGCGACAGCCACCCCTTCCCGATCCAGGTGCTGCGCTACGAGGACGCGGACGTCTACAGCGTCCGCGAGCTCAACGCGGCCACGGGCGAGTACGACCTCGTCTTCGACCTCGACTGGTTCGACGGCCACTGCAACGCCGTCGCCATGGTCAGCGCCGTCGACGGCGGCGACGCCTACTACCTCCTGGGCGCCTTCGACGGCAGGCTCTGCGACTTCGACGCGGACGGCTACGGGTGCTACGACACGCCCCTGATGTACGAGACGCCGAACGTCGCGTGCAGCTACGGCTACACCTACTACTACACGAAGAACGGCGGCCGCGACGGCGGCGAGCAGATGTTCTTCGTCACCGACTTGGACGCGGGCCTCACGGGCGGGTCGGCGACGTTCGTCGAGACCGCGTCGTTTTCTTTCTCCGGCGACCTCTGGGCGGGCGCGGTGTTAGATATCGTCGCCGTCGCCGAGGGCGGCGCCTACGACTACATCGACGACGGCGACGACGAGGGCCTCTACCTCATCGGCCTCGGCGAGCAGTTCGAGGTCGTCGTCGTCAAGGTCGACGGGTCGACGGGCGCGCCGACGCGCTACGCGGTCGTCGACGCGGCCGTCGACTGGGGCGACCACGCCGAGGAGACGGCGGACAGCGGCTTCGGCGCGGCCTACGTCTTCGACGGCTACGCCGGGAAGCGCGTCTTCTTCACGTCGAACGCGGGCTTCGGCCTCTTCGAGGTGTCGCTGCCCATCGCGATCGACGGCTCCTGCTGGAACGACGACCACGACTGGGAGGACCACGTCTTCTGCGACAGCGACGTCGCCGCGATCACGCGCCTCGCCGACGCCGTCTTCACGAACTACAACGACGGCACGAACTGCCCGGACGTGGACACGTACGCGGCCCCGCCGCCGACGGCGTCGCCGACGGCCGCGCTCATCCCCGTCGCCGCCTTCGACTGCGCGAGCTTCGAGCTCCCGCTCCAGGTGCTGCGCTACGAGGACGCGGACGAGTACACGGTGCGCGAGTACAACTTCGACACGGGCGGCTACGACCTGCTCTACACGCTCGACTACTTCGACGGGCACGTGAACGCCGCGGCCATGTTCGCGCTGACGACCGGCGAAAACACGGCCTACTTCACCATCGCCGCCTTCGACGGCTACCTCTGCTGGTTCGACGAGGCGGGCAAGTACTGCGACGACGACCCGCTCGTCTACAGCAAGCCCAACGCCGCGGCGATCCTGGGCGACGCGTACTACTACTCCAAGTCCCCGGGCGACGACGACGGCGAGTCGATCTACTTCGTGACGGGCATCGTCTCCGGCCGCGGCCACGTCGACGACGCGCTCTTCGGCGTCTCGAACGCGCTCTTCGCCGGCGCGGTGTTGGACTTCGTGGGCCTCGACGAGGACGACGAGGCCATCTACGGCGTCTCCAACACCTACATCGACGACTCGACGGAGAACGGCCTCTACCTCGTGGGCCTCGGCGAGCAGTTCGAGCTCGTCGTGATCCGCGTCGACGTCGACAGCCTCTACCCGGACGCGTACGCGGTGATTCCGACGACCGTGGACTGGGACGGCGCGGACGAGGAGTCGGGCGACACGGGCTTCGGCGCCGCCTACCTCTACCACGCCTACGAGGACGAGGCCCAGGGCGCCTTCTACAAGCACCGCCTCTTCTTCTCCGCGAACCAGGGCTACGGCATCTTCGAGCTCGAGACGCCCGTGACCATCCCGGACGACTGCTGGAACACGGGCTTCGACACGTCGAGCCACAGCGTGTGCGACGACTCCTCGGCGACGATCGTCCGCCTCAACGACGTCGTCGTGACGAACTACAACGACGGCATGAACTGCCCGGAGGCGCCGCTGGACCTGTACGCGCCGACGTACGCGCCGACGACGACGCCGGACCGCAGGCGGTCCCTGAGAGGGGTCGTGTGATAATTTGAAGGGCAAGCAGCGGTCTTGATGGTATGTTGAAGATCAAGGTTTTATGTTGAAGTTTAAGTTGAAGTTACGCTTAGCAAATCCCGCCGGCGGGATATGTTACTACGGGGCTTGCAGCTCGAGGGGGGGGGGGGCGGGTGCGCGCGCGTGATGGCGGTCGACGAGCGCGGCGCGAGGGGTCGAACGAAGGGCAGCGCGTCGCTCCGCGGCGCCCGAGTTTCCGCGGCGCCCGCGTTTCCGCGGTGCGGCGCGGCGCCCGCGTTTCCGCAGATTCTTCCTCCAAAAGGGTGGTGTTCGAAAACACCGGTGTAAGTTGTGTGCTGGTGGCAGCGTCGAGGTCAGATTCGCGCTCTAGGAGCTCGAGAACTTGGTGACGGCCTTGGTGCCCTCGGAGACGGCGTGCTTGGAGAGCTCGCCGGGGAGCATGAGGCGGACCGCGGTCTGGATCTCGCGGGACGAGAGCGTCGCCTTCTTGGAGAAGCGGCAGAGCTTGGACGCCTCGAGGGCGATGCGCTCGAAGATGTCGTTGATGAACGAGTTCATGATCGACATGCCTGCGCGCGGTACCCGTGAACGTGTGAACGTGGCGCGGGCGTGCGCGTGCAGCGCGGGTGCGCGTGTCGGGAGCGCGCGCGCGGCGCGGGTGCGCGTCGGGAGCGCGCGTCGCGTCGTCGGGACGCGGGTGCGCGCCCTTCTTGGAGATGCCCGTGTCGGGGTGCACCTGCTTGAGCACGCGGTAGATGTACGTGGAGTACGACTCGACGCGCGTCTTCTTCTTCTTGCCGCCGGCGGCCTTCTTGGGCGCCTTGGCGGATTTCTTGGAGGGAGTCTTGGCCATGGTGATTGCGAGTGTGTTTGGTTTTGCTGAGGACGTCCAACCGCGGCGCCGAGCTCTTGTTTTTCCGGGGCGCGAGCGAGCCAGCCTGCGTTTCTGATTGGTCGGACGCCCGTTACCCGGCGCGCTTCCGCACCGGAAAAACATTTGGTCTCGGCCTCGGTCGCTCTCCTCAGCACATCCCAAACACACACACTCACACTCGAATCATGTCTGGCAAAGGAAAGGGCGGCCGCGGCAAGGGCAAGACCGGTGCCGGTGGCAAGGGCACCTCCAAGGCGGCCAAGGCCGGGCTCCAGTTCCCGGTCGCGCGCCTGAACCGCTTCCTCAAGAAGGGCAAGTACGCGACGCGCGTCGGCGTCGGCGCCGGCGTCTACATGGGCGCCGTCCTCGAGTACCTCTGCGCCGAGATCCTCGAGCTCGCGGGCAACGCCGCGCGCGACAACAAGAAGGCGCGCATCATCCCGCGCCACATCCAGCTCGCGGTCCGCAACGACGAGGAGCTCAACAAGCTCCTCGGCACGGTCACGATCGCGTCCGGCGGCGTGCTCCCGAACATCCACGCCGTGCTCCTCCCCAAGAAGAGCAAGTCCAAGGCCTCGGCCTAAGCGACCACGCTCGTCGCGGCCCGGTCGAACGGCTCGCGCTCGATCGTCCGATAAGTCGCGCGCACGACCGGCGCCGCGGCGCCACTCACTCACACAACCGGTGTTTCCGAACACCACCCTTTCTTCGAAGACTCTGCTGTTTCGCTGCTTCCTCTGTCCGCTACTGCTCCAGTTCCGAGACGCGCTCCTCTGCCCCGGCTTCATCCCTACGACTCCCTCTGTACTCCCTATGTCCGGCTTGACTCCCTATAGATTTAGTTCTTCCGACCCGCAGAGTTATAGAGTCGTACGGCGGTCGGTCGAACGAGCGAATGCGAGCGCGCGCTGTTCAGAGGCGACGGCGCGCGCGTGCGATTCGAAGGGCCGCCCGAAGCCCGCGCGGGCCGTCGGCCGCGGTCCCGCGAAGTCTTCCTCCAAAAGGGTGGTGTTCGAAAACACCGGTGTGAAGATGAGTGGCCGCCACGACGGAGGTGGTGTCGAGGCGCCCGGGCTCGGCGGGAAGATTTACCCGCCGAAGCCGTAGAGCGTGCGGCCCTGGCGCTTGAGCGCGTAGACGACGTCCATGGCCGTGACCGTCTTGCGGCGGGCGTGCTCCGTGTACGTGACGGAGTCGCGGATGACGTTCTCGAGGAAGACCTTGAGGACGCCGCGGGTCTCCTCGTAGATGAGGCCGCTGATGCGCTTGACGCCGCCGCGGCGGGCCAGGCGGCGGATCGCGGGCTTCGTGATGCCCTGGATGTTGTCGCGCAACACCTTGCGGTGGCGCTTGGCGCCGCCCTTGCCGAGTCCCTTGCCTCCCTTGCCGCGTCCAGACATGATTGAGTGAGTGTGTTTTGCGTGTGTTTTGCAAAGCTGGGAGACAACGACAAGCGCTCGAGAGGAGTCGAAGGTGGTCGCGTGATCTCGACGCTCATTGGGCCGAGTTATTAAGTTGACCCTGATTTGGACTAGTTATTTTTAGGGGACCCGGGTCGACTGCGTTGCCCGACCAATGAAAAACAAGATCACGAGGTCAGACCCGGAGCCCGCTCCGCGACAGCAGCCCCTCCTCTCAGCTCCAAAACACACGCATCACAATGGCCCGCACGAAACAGACCGCACGCAAGTCCACGGGGGGCAAGGCCCCCCGCAAGCAGCTCGCCACCAAGGCGGCGCGCAAGTCCGCCCCGGCCACGGGCGGCGTCAAGAAGCCCCACCGCTACCGCCCGGGCACCGTCGCGCTCCGCGAGATCCGCCGCTACCAGAAGTCGACGGAGCTCCTCGTGCGCAAGCTCCCCTTCCAGCGCCTCGTCCGCGAGATCGCGCAGGACTTCAAGACGGACCTCCGCTTCCAGGGCTCCGCGGTCCTCGCGCTCCAGGAGGCCGCGGAGGCGTACCTCGTCGGCCTCTTCGAGGACACGAACCTCTGCGCCATCCACGCCAAGCGCGTCACGATCATGCCCAAGGACATCCAGCTCGCGCGCCGCATCCGCGGCGAGCGCTCCTAAGCGCCGTCCCTTGGTCGCTCCGCCGCTTCGCGTGGCGTCGACGACCAGCCCCAAATCACACCGGTTTTTTCGAAAACCACCCTTTCTTCGGAAGACTGCTGCTCTGATGCCGTCGCGCCGCGAAGGATTGACTCATGCATCCTTTCCATCTCGTGGCGCGCCGCACCTCTCCCGCCGCGCGATGTCGGGTGCCGCGCCTCGAACGCGCCGCGCGCGCGCGCTCTCGCAGCCCCTCCGCCACCCGTCCGCCCCGCTCCCCAAAGCCGCGCGCCCCGCCCATGCCCTATATTCGCCCAGCAGCCATGAGCATCCATCGCGTGCTTCCCCCTCACTTCAACCACCTCAAACGAAGCGTTGTTGCCGCACAAAAAACAAACGATGAGGCTGCCCGCCGTCGCGCTGCTGCTCATTACAACACAAGCCGCCGACGAGCTGCTGGACTCGCTGCTGGACCTCTCCTACCCGCAGCGCGAGGTGAAATACCGCCAGGTCGGGCTCATCCCCTTCCGGGACCTGCTCAGCGAGGCCGCGGCGCCGTCGACGCGCTTCAGCTGCGAGCGCCTGCAGACCTACGACGCGCCGAAGCCGTGAGTATCAAACCACGAAAAAACGACACCCACCGAAACCCCTTTAGGCCCGCGACGGCGGCCTGGGCGCCGCGGGCGCCCGCGGCCCGCGCGAACCGCAGCGCGACGGCCGCGGGCGACGTCGGCGTCGGCTACATGATGCGGTCGCTGTCGTCGGCGTACAAGTCGGACGTGCCGCTCGTCGCCGCGGCGCGCCGGTCCTGGATGGTCGACGCGGGGCCGGACTTGGAAGTATTGCTCCTCGTCGACTGCGACCGCGACCACGACGAGGCTCCGCAGCTCGCGCCGCCGCCGGAGCTCCGCGCGGGCGACGGCGCGCTGCCGCGGCTCCACCTCGCCTGCTACGCGCCCCTGGCGAACGTCGTCAACGACTCGACGGTGGAGGTGACGGCGATTTTGAACAACTTCGACAAGTTCGGCGCGCTGCTGGCGGCGATGCTCCGGCTCATGCCGCGGAAGCGCTGGTACCTCAAGCTGGACACGGACACGGTGCTCGTGCCGGAGAACCTGCTCCGGTTCCTGTCCTTTTTTAGTGTCAACGCCCGGCAGCCGACGAACCTCTACTTTGGCGACGCGGGCGAGCTGCCGCAGCGGAGCAACCGGCCCGTCCAAACGCGGCGTCCCGCGACAGACACCGCGAGTTTCTGACACCCCGTTTTTTTGTAGGAGGACTGGGCCATGTACCGCGTCCACGCCCGATCCAAGGACGAGCTCTTCAAGCGGCCGGGCTGGCGCGCGCTCGTCGACGAGTACTTTGACCGCAAAGAGAAGCCCAACAGCGAGAAGGCGACGATCGCCTACGTCCAGGGCGGCCTCGAGGGCTTCTCCGGCGACGCGCTCGAGGCCCTCGTCTCCAAGGACTGCGTCGGCCGCGTCGGCGCCATCCCCTGCGACCGGAGCCGCAAGAAGCACTGCATCAACAAGCCCGAGGACGCGACGGTGGGCCTCTGCGCGCACCTCCACCGCGTCGCGCTCGTCGACTGCCAGCCTTGCTTCCAGAACATCATCGCGAGCCCCGCCGTCGAGTGGACGCGCGGCGAGCTCGCCAAGGCGGGCACGCGGGACGCGCGGTTCTGCGCCACGCCCGTGTCCGTGCACCCGGTCAAGGACGCGGCCGACCAGGTCGCTGCCTACCGGCTTCTGTACGCGTACACGCGCAAGGTCGCCGGGTTACTCGGCGCCTAGGCGATTCCTCGGGGGCCGCGGCAGGGACACGAGGAGCGCCACCGGGTTACTCGGCGCCTAGGCGATTCCTCGGGGGCCGCGGCAGGGACACGAGGAGCGCCGACCGCTCGCCGCGGCCGCGGCCGCGCGCGGTCTTGACGAGGTTGCCGCCGAGCGCGCCCGCGATGATGACGGCGACGCCGAAGGCCTGGTGGGGCAGCACGGGCGTGCCCCGGAAGATGCGGTCCCAGAGGAGCACGAGGGGGATCTCAGCGTATAACAAAGACACGACGAAGACGTTGCGGCTCACGACGAGCGCCGCGACGCGGAGGAACGACGACAGCGGGAAGCTCACGACCTCGAGCAGCAGGAGCAGCGCGACGCGGCCGTCGCGCGCGAGCAGCTCGAAGGACGGCGCGACGTCGGCCCGGCACGCGTAGCACGCCGTCAGCGCGAGGACCAACGCGCAGAACGCCTGCGCCGCGCAGAGCACGAGCGGCCGCGCGTCCCTGAGCTTCGCGGACGTGACGACGCACGCGGCCGCGTTCGACAGCGCGAAGCCGAGCGCGCCGCCGTAGCCCAACAGCGCCTCGCCGCGCGTCCGCCGCGGCGCGGGCGCGGGCGCCGCGGGCGCCGCGAGGCGCAGGAGCAGGCCCGGCGCGACGACGGCGATCGTGCCCCCGAAGCCCGTCAGCAAGATCAGCACGTCGCCCCGGCCCGGCAGCGTCTTCGTCGCCAGCGCCGCGAGGGCGCACGCGAAGCACGGCATGGAGAACATGATCGTGTTCGCGCTCGCGAGGTCGACGTGCGTGACGCCGCAGACCGCCGCGTTTAAAGCTAATCCGCCGAGCGCGGACCGGACCCAGAGCCAGCCCCCGCGCTCGCTCGCCCGCAGCCGCCGGCCCGTGGGCCGCGACGTCGCGCCGCGCACGTAAAACAAGCCGCCGAGCACGGGCAGCGACGCCGCGTTGATCGCCGTCGAGATGACGGTCCAGTGGAGCTCGCCGCTCAAGAACGACGCGTCGAAGGCCTGGAGCGACGCCGCGCAGGCGCTGCCCAGGATGAGCAGCGCGGCGACGCCGTCGCGCGCCGGCTCGGGCTGCGGCGTCAGCGGGCTGCCCGGCTCGCGGTCGTAGGGCGTCTGCGCCGCCAAGTTCTCGGCGCCGGAGAAGGCGATCTTGAGCCGCTTGCGCGGCGTCGTCTGCGGCGTTTGTGATGGCGTATGGTTTGGCGTCGACGGCGTGGTGGTGGTGGTGCCGTTCGGCGTCGACGGCGCGACGGCGATGCGCACGTGGGACGACTCCAGTGGGCTATACTCGGCGTCCATGGACGGGCTGCGTTTCAATTAATACGGCACGTTTGCGTTGTTGACGCTTCGCTAAAGGAGTGGCAGCTCATGGCGTGCGCGCCGTCTGCGTGACAAGCCGCTCCGCCGATCGAACCATGGTCGACCGCCTCACCCTCGCCGCGGTCGCCGTGCTCGTGCCGCTGCGGCTCTACGGCGCCCTCGTCTCCGGCGTCGCGGACTGCGACGAGGTCTACAACTACTGGGAGGGCGTGCACCTGCTCGCGCGGAGCGACGGCGCCTTCCGCCGGCCGTTGCAGACCTGGGAGTACGCGCCGAACTACGCCCTGCGGTCCTGGGCCTACGTGGCGCCCTACGCGGCCGTCGCGCGGCTCGGCGACGTTGTGGCCGGCGCCGCGCCGCTCGCGACGTTCGCGTTTGTCCGCTGCGCGGGCCTCGCGGCGCCCCACGCCCTCGCGGAGGTCGCGCTCGTGCGCGGCGTCGCGGCGCGCTTCGGCGGCGGCGCGGCGGCGTGCGCGCTGGGCCTGATCGCGGCGTCCGCGGGCCTGTTCGCGGCGTCGAACGCGCTGCTCCCCTCCGCGGCCGCGGCGACGCTCGCGGCGCTGTCGCAGGCGCGGCAGCTCGCGGGCGACCGCCGCGGCGCGGTCTTCTTCGCCGTCGCGGCGACGCTCTGGCCCGGCTGGCCCTTCGTGGCCGTGCTCTTCGTGCCGCTCTTCGTTTCCGTCGTCGCGGCGGAGACCGCGGCGCGGGGCGCGGTCCGCGGCCTGGCCGAGGTCGCGGTCTCCGGCGTCGTCGCCGGCGTGGTCGTGGGCCTGCCCGTCGCGGCCTTTGATGCTGTAGCCTACGGGCGCCTCACGTCGCCGCTGTGGAACGTCTTCCGCTACAACGCGACGGAGGGCGGCGACGAGCTCTACGGCGTCGAGCCCTGGACCTTCTACGCCAAGAACCTGCTTCTGAACGCGAACGTGGGCTTCCTGCTCTTCCTCGGCCTCGTGCCCATCGTCGCGGCGCGCGCGCTCCTGGGCACGGGCGACCCGCGCGCGTCCTCGGCGGCGCTCCTGGCGCAGGCCGCGCCCGCGGCGCTCTGGCTCGGCCTCCTCCTGAGCCGGCCCCACAAGGAGGAGCGCTTCCTCTTCCCGGCCCTGCCGAGCCTCTACGTCGCCGCCGCCGTCGCCCTCGACGAGGCCGCGGCCATCGCGGCGAACATCGGCGCGCGCGTCGCGGCGCCCGCGGCGACGCGGAACGCCGTCCGCGGCGCCGCGGTCGCCGCGGCGCTGCTGTTCGGCCTGAGCCGCGTCGCCGCGACGACGGAGTACTACGCCCGGCCCCAGATGGCCGCCTGGGCCTTCGCGGGGCGCGCCGCGGCGCAGCTTCCCGGCAACGCGACGGTCTGCGTCGGCGGCGAGCGGCGCCCGGAGCCGCGAAACGATGATTCGACGTCGCTTCGACGTGAGTGTTCCGCGCGCGCGCGTTCCGGAGGAAGCATCCACGCGTCGAGGACGCTCCGAGAGATGATCGCTCGTCCAAAAATCAGCCGAAACGAGTGGAAGAGGCCGAGATCGGACCCCTTTGTGCTGCCCAGGTGGCACCGCTACGCGTCGACGTTCTCTTTGCCGCCGAACGCGCGGCTCGGCTTCGTCGAGACGCGCTTCGACGGCCAGCTGCCGCGCCTCTACGACGCGCAGGCGCCGGGCCTCGCCGCGTCCCTGGGCGTCGCGGCCGCGGACGTGTCCGCGCACTTCAACGCGGAAAACGCGGAGCGGCCGGGCTCCTACGTCGCGCCCGCGGCCTGCGACGTCGCCGTCGACTTGAGAATTGGCGACGACCCGGCGCCGTCGCTCGCCGCGGCGCTCGAAGCCGACGGGCGCGCCTGGGGCGTCGCGTTCTCCGCGCCGTTCCTCGACGCGGCGAACACGGGCGCGGCCGCGCGCGCGTTCCTCGTCCCGGGCTACTCGCGGCGCCGCGCGGCCTGGGGGGCCTACGCGGTCCTCGCGCCGGTCCCTTAAAACACCACGTCAAACTCCTCCGCCCAGTCCCGGAGCTGGGGCAGGGACACGACGGCGCCGCCGCAGACCTCGACGACGACGCAGCGCTTCCCGGCGAGGACCGGCGGCGGGTCGCCGTAGACGGCGGCGCAGGCCGCGCCGCAGGCCGGCTCGACGAGCACGCGCCGCTCGTTGGCCAGCGCGACGCACGCCGCGACGGCCGCGCCGTCGGAGACGACGTGCGGGTGCACCGCGCCGTAGGCCCGCGCGGCGGCGAGGACGGCGGCGCTCGGCGTCGCCGCGCCGAGGGACTTGGCGATGGACGTGATGGCGATGGTGGCGGGGGCGCCCGCCTCGACGGATCGCGCGAACGAGTCCGCGCCGGCGGTCTCGGCGGCGACGACGTCGACCTTGCGCGGCCGATTCGCCGCCTCGAGGCCCCGGAGCACGCCCATGAGCAGGCCGCCGCCGCCCACGCAGGTCACGAGCGCGTCCATGGGCGGCGCGCCGAGCGCCGCGAGCTGGCCGTCGATCTCGCCTACGACGGACGCGTGGCCGTCCCACGTCGCCTCGCCCTCGAAGGGGTGCACGAGGGGGCTGCCGGCGGCGTCCGCGATGCGCGCCGCCTCGACGTTGGCCTCGTCCCAGACGTCTCCCGCGACGACGACGGCCGCGCCGTACTCGTCCTCGAGCTTCGCCCGCACGGACGCCGGCGTCGTCGTCGGCAGGACGACGGTGCAGGCGAGGCCGAGCGCCGCCGCCGCGTGCGCCGTCGCCAGGCCCGCGTTGCCGCCGCTGCTCGACACGACGCCGGACGCGCCGGATGCCTTCGCCGCGGCGACCGTGGCGCCGATGCCGCGCAGCTTGAAGGAGCCCGACGGCTGGTGGCAGTCGAGCTTCAGGTAGACCTCGCTGCCGAGCTTGCCGCTGAGGAAGGCCGAGCGCACGAGCGGCGTGACGATGTGGGGGGTCGTCGACAGCGCGCGCGAGCCGCCGATCATGGCGAGCGCCGCCGCAGAGAGCGTGCGGGAGCCCATCATGATCATGGGCTGTGGCAGCAAGAACTTGTTTTTAGCGAGCGTTTTGAACAGCGTGTCCGCACGCGCTGCACAACATGGGCGGCGAAAGCGCTGCACCAACACCATTCGCGCGAGCGCTGTGTGCCGGCGGCGCGGCGGGGTTCGCCGTCGACGTGTCGCTCTTCCCCATCGACACGGTGAAGACGCGGCTCCAGGCGCCCCAGGGCTTCCTCAAAGCCGGCGGCTTCACGGGCATCTACCGAGGCCTGGGCGCGGCGGCGGCGGGGTCCGTGCCCGGCGCGGCGCTCTTCTTCTCCGTCTACGAGACGACGCGGCACGTTCTCGGCGCGGACTCCGTCCTCGCGCAGATCGCGGCCGCGTCGGCCGGCGAGCTCTGCGCGTGCTCCATCCGCGTGCCCGTGGAGGTCGTCAAGCAGTCGCAGCAGGCGGGCCAGATCGACGCGAGCCTCGGCAGGGGCGCGGCGCAGATCTACGCCGCCGGCGGCCTCGCCGCCTTCTACCGCGGCTTCGCGGCGACGGTGATGCGCGAGGTGCCGTTCTCGATCCTCCAGATGCCGCTCCTCGAGCGCATGAAGGTGCTCTGGGTCGGCGCGCGGCGCGGCGAGCCCCTGGCGCCGGTCCACGTCGCGCTCTGCGGCTCGCTCTCCGGCGGCGTCGCCGCGGCCGCGACGACGCCGCTCGACGTCGTCAAGACGCGGCTCATGCTCGGCGCGGACGCGGCGGGCGTCGCCTACGACCGGGGCACGCTCGAGTGCGCGCGGCGCATCGCGGCCCACGAGGGCCCGCGGGCCTTCTTCTCCGGCCTCTCCGCGCGCGTCTTCTGGCTCTCGCTGGGGGGGCTCGTCTACTTCGGCGCCTACGACGCGAGCTCCGCCGCGCTCCGCGACGCCGGGGTCTAGTTGTGTAAACATCGCTGTCCGTTCGCGAGCATCTTCGCATGTGACGTGCGCAGCGCGGCGACTGTGGCGCGATATTCTGCAACATCGCTTCAATTGGGCTTCAATTTTGGCCCAAACTCGATGAGCATGGAGTGCTAAAATCCACGAAACTATGCTGCTCGTCCTCCTCATGCGCCACGGCGAGTCGCAGGCGAACGCGACGCGCGAGGACCTGCCCGATCCGGAGCTCACGACCCGCGGCGCCGCGCAGGCCGACGCCTGGCGGCAGCGCGCGGCGCGCTGGGACCTGGAGACGGTGCTCGTGTCGCCGCTGCTGCGCTGCGTGCAGACCGCGGCGCGCGCCTTCGGCGCGTGCGAAAGCGCCGCCTGGCGGCTCTGCCCCGCGGCGCGCGAGCACTGGTGGCACATGGCGCAGTCGCGGGGCCGGCTCGGCGCGGGCCTCGCGCCGTTTTTAGACGCGCTGCCGCCGTGCGGGCTCGCCGCGCGCGACGTCTTCGAAACGGTCGGCGAGCCGTCGGAGCACTGGGACCCGGACGACGAGGCGACGCAGAGCAAGCGCGAGCTCGGCCGGCGGGCCGCGCGCGCGACGCTCGCGCTCGTGACGGACCTGGCGCGCCGCGCGGCCGCGGGCGAGAAGCGCGCCGTCGTTGTCTGCCACTGGGGCGTCCTCGCGGCCCTCGCGGACGCGGACGCGGACAACTGCGACGTCGTCGGCTTGCTCTTCGCGCCCCACGCGCCGCGCGTCGACCCCCCCCGGGAGCGGAAGAACGTCTACAAGGACGCGGCGCGCGCGCTCGGCTTCTCCTACGACGTCCTCGGGCCCTGGAAGGCCGACGGGCCGCGCATCCCGCTCCTCGAGCACCGGCCCTTCGTCGCCGAGTCCTAACGGACTCCTTTTTACGAGCGACGTCGCGCGGCGGCGACGGCGGCGACCGTCGCGGCCGCGCCGTAGGCGAGCGCGGCGTAGAGGGGCCAGGCCCGCGCGGGCTCCGGCGGCGCGGGCTCTGGCGGCGGCGGCGGCGCGTCCGGCGGCGCGTCCGGCGGGTCCGCGTCGCTGTTGTTGCGGACGCGGAGGCTCTCGAGCGTCGTCGGCGAGGCGATGGTGTCCCAGACCGTGCGGTTGTAGGCGACGCCGCAGGCCTGGACGGCCTGCGCGAGCGCCGGGTAGGGCACGACGACGCGGCCGAGCTCGCCGAGGCCGAGCTTGCCGTGCATGGCCACGGCGATCTCCGCGATGAGGTCCCCGGCGTGGGGCGCGACGACCGTCGCCCCCAGGATCTCGTCGCTCCCCCGGGCCGTGACGACGCGCACGAGGCCGCCCTCGTCGCCGTCCAAGATCGCGCGGTCGACGTGCGCCAGGTCCGTCTCGTAGACGTCGCAGCCGCCGGCGACGTCGCGCTCGTACAGGCCCACGTGGGCGAGCTCCGGCGCCGTGTGCGTCACCCAGGGCAGGAGCACGGCCCCAAAGTCCGCGTCGCCTCCGAACAGCGCGTTCTCGACGGCCGCGGCCGCCATCGCGACGGCCGCGTGCGCGTGCTGGTAGCCCGACGCGACGTCGCCCGCGGCGAAGATCCGCGGGTTCGACGTCCGCAACATACCGTCGACTCGAATGCCGTTCTGCGCGTCGTAGGCGACGCCCGCGGCGTCCAACCCCAACCCGGCCACGCGCGGCTTCCGGCCCGCCGCCACCAATAACGCGTCGCAGCGGAGCACGCGCTTCTCGCTCGCGTAGAAGTCGTTGGTCTCGCGGATGGCGACGCCCACGGGCAGCGCCTCGGCCTCGTCGACGGACACGGCGACGAAGGACACGTTCGTCAAAATCTCGACGCCGTCGGCCTCGAGCTCGCGGCGCACGACCGACGCCGCGGCGGCATCCTCCCGCGGCAGGAACTCGCCGCGCGCCGCGAGGCAGACGCGGCAGCCCAGCACGCTCAAAGCCTGGGCCGTCTCCGCCGCCTGGGGCCCGCCGCCGAGCACGACCGCGCGCCGCGGCAGCTCCTCGCAGTCGTACCAGCTCAGGTGCGTGCGGTAGGGCGCCTCGCGCAGGCCCGGCACGTCCGGGAGCGCCGGCGACGCGCCCGTGGCCACGATACAGTGGGCGAACGCGAGCCGGCGGCGGTCGCCGTCCGCGGCGACCTCGACGCAGTCCTCCGAGACGAACTCCGCCGTCCCGGAGAACACGGACAAATTCGGGTGGCGCTTCTCGAGGTGCTTCGGCGCGTCGGCGGCGGCGAGGCGCGCCCGCAGCCGCCGCATGCGCCGCGCGACGGCGCCAAAGTCCGCGGCCTTGTGCACGGGCGCGTTCACGCCGAGCTCGTGCGCGAGCGACGACCGCGCGGCCCGGACGCACCGCGCGGCGCGCGCCAGGGCCTTGGCGGGCACGCAGGCCGACGTCAGCGACGCGCCGCCGAAGAGGGACGCCTCGACCAGCGCCGTCCGCGCGCCGCGCCGCGCGGCCTGCGTCGCCGCCGCGAGGCCCGCGGCGCCCGCGCCCACGACCACGAGGTCGTAGGTCGCGCCGACGCCCGGCGCCGGGTTGGACCACTTGCGCGGGTGCACGAGGTCCAGCAGGGCCAGGTTGTGCTCGTCGAGGGGCGCGAGCCGCGCCGCGTCGCGGTGCTCCGCGCGCGCGTCGCAGCCCCGGCCCGCCGCGGACCGGGGCAGCCGCGCCTGGCAGGGCCGGCCCTCGGACGCCGGGGCGAGGCCGAAGCCGTGGCGCACGAGCTTCGCCCAGGCCTGGGCCCCGCCCCGGGCATCGCTCACCTTGCGCCGCGGGCCGATGGGCGGCGACGACGCGCCCTCGACGAGGTCGCGCGCCGCGTCGCCGACGACCTCGCCGCGCGCCGCGTCCTCGAAGGCGAGGCGCAGCGGCGCCGACACGGGGCCGTCGAGGTCCGCCGCCTCCTCGCGGCCGTACTCGCGCTCCACGCGCAGCGACCGCTCCACGGCCACGTCGATGAACCGCTCGCCGTCGTCGCCGGAGTCGTCGTCGAGCTGCAGCGTCTCGGCCCAGGCCTGCGGGCTCGACGGCACGGCGGATGGTTTCGTCGCGACGGGCGACGCCGGCGGCGCGTCGGCCATCGTTGGAGGGCTGCCCTTAATGGCCTAGCAACATGCGCGTTTGGCACGGCTCAACATCTGCGCCAACTAAAACCTTGCTGCTCAAGCTCTGCCACGACGCGCAGCATGCGCTCATCATCACCATTGCGTCTGTGCGTCGTGCTCGCCGCGGCCGCGGCCTTCCGCGCGCCGGTTGCGCCGCGCGTGTCGGCGCCCCGGACGCGCCTCGCGTTGACGCGCGAGGACTTTGAGATCGAGGTCGAGCTGGAGCAGGGCGCCGTCACGGTCCAGCTGTCGCCGACCATGGAGAAATCCGAGCTCGTCGTCGCGCAGTACCCGCTGCCGTTCTTCATCGACATCGAGCAGACCAAGGACGGCAACATGGTCACCAAGGACGGCTCGCAGCAGGAGAACGACGGCGTCGAGCGCGTCGGCGACCGGCTCCGCGCGTTCACGTACTACGAGGTCGGCCAGAGCCTCGACGAGCCCGGCGGCGGCGGCGTCATCTCCATGCTCGGCTCCTTCGGCGGCGCGTCCATCAAGTGGCGGCGCAAGCTCTTCGACGCCACCTTCACGCCCTGGGACAAGGCCCTCGAGGTCCTCATCACGAACGAGCCGCGGCGGACGGACAGCGTGACCATGGTCTTCGAGCGCCGCCTCGAGTAGTGCGCCAGTGGTGTAAGAGATTCGGACGTGTCCGTCGCGGCGGCATCTTCCCCGCTGCGCAGCGGTGGTTCAACTTTATGGTTGATGTTGATCCGCGTGCTCGTGGGCATCGACGACGGCCAGGTCCACGGCGTCGCCACCGGCGACGACGTGTACCCCCTCGGGAATGAGCGGCTATGGGAGGCTGCTGCAGTTGTCGCCTCTCGTGAAAAGGTCAACATAGAGTACTTGAACCAAAATTGCCGCACTGGCAATTCTGCGATCGAGTTGTTTCTGCCAATGGCCGCCATGCTCGCGGCCAAGCTCCGCAGCGCCGGCGCTCCAGCGCGCCGCCTCCTGTCGTCGTCCCAGAAGGCGGCCGTGCGCGCCGAGGTCGCCGCGCTGCGCGCCCAGAGCCTCGTCGGCGGCGGCGAGCGGCGCATCGAGGCCCAGCACAAGAAGGGCAAGCTCACGGCGCGGGAGCGCCTGAGCGTGTTGCTCGACGAGGGGTCCTTCGTCGAGCTCGACCCCTTCGTGTCCCACACCTGCGTCGACTTTGGCATGGAGCACGAGAAGCCGCCCGGCGACGGCGTCGTCACGGGCCACGGCCTCGTCGACGGGAGGCCCGTGTGCGTCTTCGCGCAGGACTTCACGGTCTTCGGCGGGTCGCTGTCGAGCGCGCACGCGTCGAAGATCGTCAAGGTCATGGAGCGGGCCCTGCGCGTGCGCTGCCCCGTCGTCGGGCTCAGCGACTCGGGCGGCGCGCGGATCCAGGAGGGCGTCGACTCGTTGGGAGGCTACGCGGACGTCTTCCAGGCCAACGTCGACGCGAGCGGCGTCGTGCCCCAGCTGTCGCTCATCATGGGGCCCTGCGCCGGCGGCGCCGTCTACTCGCCGGTCATGACGGACTTTCTGTACATGGTCCGGCGGTCCTCGTACATGTTCGTGACGGGGCCGGACGTCGTCAAGTCCGTCACGAACGAGGCCGTGACCCAGGAGGAGCTCGGCGGCGCCGAGGTCCACACGAAGTTGAGTGGTGTCGCCCAGGGGGCCTTCGACGACGACGTCGCGGCGCTGCGGGGCGCGCGGAAGCTCCTGGGGTATTTACCGTCGTCGTACGCGGACGCGGCGCCGGCCGTCGCGGCCTACGACGACCCGGCGCGCGAGGACCCGGCGCTGCGGCTGCTCGTGCCCGACGACCCGAACGTGCCCTACGACATGCGCGAGGTCGTGCGGCGCGTCGTCGACAAGCAGAGCCTGCTGGAGATCGCCGAGGACTACGCGCCGAACATATTGACGGCGTTCGCGCGCCTCGGGGGCCGGGCCGTCGGCGTCGTCGCCAACAACCCCAAGTCCAAGGCCGGCTGCCTCGACATCGACGCCTCGGTCAAGGCCGCGCGCTTCGTCCGCTTCTGCGACGCGTTCGGGATCCCTTTGGTGACGTTCGTCGACGTCCCGGGCTTCCTCCCGGGCGTCAAGCAGGAGCACGGCGGCATCATCCGCCACGGCGCCAAGCTGCTCTTCGCCTACAGCGAGGCGAACGTGCCCAAGCTCACGGTCATCACGCGCAAGGCCTACGGCGGCGCCTACGACGTCATGGCGTCGAAGCACCTCCGCGGCGACGCGAACTACGCGTGGCCGTCCGCGGAGATCGCCGTCATGGGCGCCAAGGGCGCCGTGGAGATCCTCTACCGCGACCTCGACGCCGACGGCCAGCAGGCCAAGGCCGACGAGTACGCGCGGCGCTTCGCGAACCCCATCGTCGCCGCGTCGCGCGGCTTCGTCGACGACGTCATCGACCCGGCGGAGACGCGCGCGAAGCTCTGCGCGGACCTCGACCAGCTCGCCCGCAAGGACCTCCCCAACCGCCCGCGCAAGCACACGTGCATCCCGCTTTGAACGAGGGTCTCGTGGGGGGTAACATCGCGGCACGTTGACTTTGTCTGCTCGAGCACCGATCGGTGCGCGCGCGCCGTGCCATGGCGAGCGGTGGCGTGTTGATGAAAGTCGGCGGCCTCGTGGCGCGCGCGCCGCGTCGCCCTCCTCTGCCGGACGCGCGCGACGAGCCGCGCACCGCAGGTCAAGACGCTGGCGAAACCGGTAGCAAAACAACTCAAGGCCGACGCGCAGCACATCGCGTGGCTGCGCACCATGTGCACGTCCCTCGGCTGGTCGTCGCACTAGCGCGTCGCCCGGCGCCCCGCGACGAAACGCGCGCGCGACCCGTTTCCCTCGCAGTTTCACGCGGCGGCTCTCGCACGCCACGTCGCTCGAGAGCTTCCGCAAGCCCTACAAGCACGTGGACCTCAAGGACAGCGACTGCCTGAACCGCGGCTCGGAGATCGTGTCCGAGGGCCTCGTCCTCGGCGTCGCCATCGCGGTGCGGCCTCCCGCGCCCGGTGCGACGCGCCCCGGGTCCGAGCCCCCCGCCGCAGGTCGCGGCCTACGAGTACGAGAAGAGCGCCCACAAGAAGGTCGTCGCGGAGCAAAAGCAGGAGGCGCGCGAGGCGCAGGCGGCGGCGGACCTCGAGGCGCGGCTCGTGCGCATCGAGGCCGGGCTCGCGGACGTGAGCGCCGCGCTGCGCGACCGCCCGAAGGCGACGTCGTGGTGGCGAGGGAGCTGATGGTAACGTCCGATCTTTTGTGGTTTCCTCTTGTTCGCACGCGTACCGAGGGCACTGTTCTTTGGGGATTAGCTGCCGCGCGTCCACTTCGATTGCAGGGAACTAGCCGGAGTTACTTAATGCTCGAGCTCCTGAGGAGCATCTCGAGCTCGTCGGCCGCCGGCGATATATGAGCAGCGTTCGGGCCTCTAAGCTTGCAGCGCACGCATCGCAAATAGCATCATGTCGCTGGCGCTGTCGCCCGACGCGCTGTCCATCGCCGTCGCCTCGGCGTCGCGCCTGAGCGTGCACGGGGCGTCGGCGGGGAGCCGGGAGCGGCAATACGTGCAGCAGGGCCAGCTCGCGCGGCGCTACGCCTGCTGCGCCTGGTCCAAGGACGCGGCGCTCGTCGCGTGCGGCTCCGGCGACGGCGCCGTCGTCGTCTGGGACGTGAAGCGCGGCCTCGTCAAGGCCACGCTCGCGCCGCCGGGCGCGCTCGCGAACGCGGGCGTCGTCGGCGTCGACTTTAGCGCGGACGGCGCGGAGCTCTACGCCTGCTACGCGCTGCCCGGCGGCGCGTTCGCGCGCCACGTCGCGCGGTGGGCCGTCGCCGGCGGCGAGCCCGCCGCCTGGGACGGCGACAAGCGCGGCGTGTCGGCCCTGGCGGCGCACCCGAGCGGCGGCGCCGTCGCCGTCGGGTCGACGCGCGTGCGCCTGCTGCAGACGACGGGCACGGGCGCCAAGCGGGCCCTGGCGGGGACGCACGCGACGGAGGTGCGGCGCCTCGCGTGGACGGCGAGCGGGAGGTACGTCGTGTCGCTCGCGCGCGACGCGCGGTCCGTGCTCGTGCACGACTGCACCAAGGCCAAGGACGGCGTCTGGAGCCTGCGGCTCGCCGCGCCGGGCCTCGAGGTCTGCGCGCGCGCCGCGCCGCGCGCCGAGGGCGAGGAGGCCGTGGAGGTCGCGGTCTGCCTCGGCGACGGCCGGTTGCAGGTCGCGTCGACCGCGTCCCCCGACGCCGCGCCGCTCCTGGACGGGCGGCGCGACGCGCTGGCCGTCGCCTTCGTCGGCGACGACCTCCGGGCCGCGCGCGGCGCGGCGAGCGCGCCGTCGGCCGCGGCCGTGGACGTCGCGCGCGACGCCGGCGTGTGCGCGGCCGTCGACGGCGGCGCGGCGCCGGCCAAGGCCGCGGCCGCGGGCGACGCGCCGGCGGCGAGGGAGCCCAGGCGGCCCGCGGTGCTCGGCTTCGCGGCGCTCGGCGCCGCTCCCCGGCTCCGGCCCGACGGCGAGGACGGCGCGGCGCGGAAGCGGGCCAAGGCCGCGGCGGCCGACGACGACGCGGCCTTGGGCGACCGCCTCGCGGCTTTAGAAGCCCTGGCGACGCGCGAGGAGGCGCAGACGGCGGCGGACCTCGCCGCGGACGCGGGCCACGCGGCCGCGGCCGACGACGGGTCCGGCGCGTCGCTCGCGGCCGTGCTCGACCAGGCCGTGCGCTGCGGCGACGACGCGCTCCTCGAGACCGTGCTCCGGCGCACGGAGCCCGCGACGGTCGCGGCGACCTGCGCGAAGCTGGCGCCGAGCCTGGCGCTGCCGACGCTCGACGCGCTCGCCGCGCGGCTCGAGCGGAGCCCGCTGCGGGCCGCGGATTTGGCGGGCTGGGTCAAGGCGCTGCTCCTGCAGCACGCGTCGCACCTCGCGACGCTGCCCAAGCTCGCGGACACGCTCGCGCGGCTCCAGTACGTCGTCGACGCGCGCGTCGCCGCGCTGCCCAAGTTCCTCTCGCTCCTCGGCAAGTTCGACCTCCTGCTCCACAAGAAGACCGGCGCCGCGGTCTCCGGGGCCGCGAGCGCCGAGGTGACGCCACTGAACGTCGTCGCCGCCGACGCCACGGACGACGAGGACGAGGAGGAGGAGGACGACGACATGGAGGAGGAGGAGGACGACGACGACGACGAGTCGGAGGAGGAGGAGGACGACGACGACGACGACGATTCGTCGGACGACGACGACGAGTGAGCCGACGCACACACCTAACACTTACCTCGCGCCGCGGATCGTCGACGGGGAGCGGAGGAGCGACTCGGGCGGCGCGCGCCGCGGCGGGCTGTTCGTCGGCGAGTAGCTCTCGGAGAGCTCCCGGGCGAGCTGGAGCTCGTCGGGGTCCTCGTCGCTGTCGAGGTCCTCGAGCCCGCCCGCGGCGCGCCGCAGCTGCGCGCGCGCGTAGACCGTCGCGCGCGCGGCGGCCGCCTGGAGCGCCGCGCGGTCGCCGTCGTCCATGGCCGCGGGCTGCCAGCCCGGCTGGAGGCAGGAGAAGGCCGCCTGGACGACGTCGTCGTGCGCGCAGCGGGGCGGCGGGCGGTAGGAGTGGCCCTCGGGCGACTCGCCCGTGAGCGTGGCGTAGAAGACGCACGCGGCCAGGTAGGACCCCAACTTCGACGGGTGGTGGCCGTCGGGCGCGTAGAGCCGGCTGAAGAGCGTGCGCGGGTCGCCCTCGGGCTCGAGGTGGGACCCGGCGCAGGCCTCGTGGACCTCGCGGAAGGCCTCGCCCACGGGCACGTAGCGCGCGGAATTGCCGAGCAGCGCGCAGAGCCGCTTGCAGCCCGCGGACGTCTTGGCCTGCATGGCCCGGTAGGACGGGTAGGCGCGCTTCGACGCGCCGTAGACGCTGCCGCTCCGGTGGCCCCAGGTCCCGAAGAGGAGGAGCGTCGTCGACGCGCGCGGCGCGAAGAACTCGCGCGCCGCGCCCCGGCTCGCGCCGAGCTTCGCGAGGTCGTAGCCGCCGGCGACCGTCGACGCCTCCTGGAGCACGACGGCGTCCCAGTCGCACTCGAGCAGCGCCGCGACCCGCGGGTCCGCCGCGTGGCCGCTCAGCCGCGCGCCGCCGCACAGCACGCAAGCCTCCGGGTCCGGCTCGGTTTCGAGCATGGCCGCCACCATGGCCGGCAGGTCGTTGAAGTACGTGTAGGAGTCGCCGACCCAGGCGACGCGCCGCAGCGGCGCGGCGGCGGCCATGGCTCTTGGGTATAGCCGCCGCTTGGGTATGGCCGCTGGGTATGGCCGCGGCGGCTGGGTATGGCCGCGGCGGGCGCCACCGGCGTGGCCGAGGATGGCTTGTTTTGGGCAGCCTTGGCTCCTCGGGCCAAAGCTGCACTGATCTTGAACAAGCGATTCTGCCACTAAGATCGACACGATGCTCGCCTCCGACGTCGAACACGGCGGCGTGGCCAAGGCGGTCCTGGGCCTGCGGCGCTTCTTCGAGAGCGGCGGCACCATGTCCTACGAGTTCAGGCTGGGCCAGCTCAAGGCCTTCCAGCGCATGCTCGTGAACGAGCGGGCGACGCTGCAGGCGGCCATGAAGGCCGACCTGCACAAGAACGCGACCGAGGGCCAGTACGTGGAGGTCAACCAGGTCGAGCACGAGTGCCAGCACGCCATCGACCATCTCAAGCAATGGATGACGCCCAAGGCCGTGTCGACGAACCTGCTCAACGTCCCCGGCCTCTCGTACGTCCACCCGGACCCGCTCGGCGTCTGCCTCGTCATCGGCGCCTGGAACTTCCCCATCTTGCTGAGCCTCCAGCCCATGATCGGCGCCCTGGCGGCGGGCAACTGCGTCTGCCTGAAGACGCCGAGCCAGCACTACAGCGCCGCGTGCTCGGACGCGATGGCGGCGATGCTCCAGCGGTACCTCGACCCGCGCGCCGTGGCCGTCGTCGCGGGCGACCGCATGGCGACGCAGGCCGTGCTCCAGGAGACCTGGGACCACATCTTCTTCACGGGCGGCAAGTACGTCGGCACCATGGTCGCCGAGGCCGCCGCGAAGCACCTGACGCCCTGCGTGCTCGAGCTCGGCGGCAAGTCGCCCTGCGTCGTCGACAGGTCGGCGTCGCTGGACGTCGCCGCGCGGCGCATCTGCTGGGGCATGTTCCAGAACGCGGGCCAGACCTGCGTGCGGCCCGACTACCTGCTGGTCCACGAGGACGTCGCGGACGCGTTCGCCGGGTTGCTCCTCAAATGGGCGACGGCGTCCTACTCGAAGGACCCCAAGGCGACGGAGTGGTTCGGCCGCCTCATCAACGAGCGCGCGGCCCAGCGCGTCGCGGGCCTCCT